CTCCTGCCCCGTGTCCTGGGCGCGGGCGCCGGTACCGAGCGGGGCCGCCATGGCGGGGCCGGGAAGAGGCCTCCGCTCCCTCCGCGCTCCGCTCCAAAATGGCCGCTGCCGCCCCCTAACGCCTCAGCCCCATGACGGACAGCAGCTCTGACCAATGGGGATAGGGAGGCGGCCGCAGTGACATCACACCCGACCAATCAGCGCCCGCGGGGGAGACGGGGCGGAGCCTCCCCAGCTGGGGCGGCCACTGGCCAATGGGAAGCGAGGCGGCGCCACGGGGGCGGAGCCTCGGTCCCGGTCCCGGTCCCGGTGACGCCGCGGTCCCCGCTCTGCTCCCATGGGCAGCGCTGGAGCCACCGGTACCCAGCGCATCCCCGGCCCCGAGCGGCGCAGTTGAACACCCAGGACACCTCCTGCTGCCGAGAGTACATTGACCGGAGGCAAGGGAGCTGGGGGGCACGGGGCGTAGAAAAGAGAATCACAGCTTCCCCTGCACGGGGAACGGGGGGCGATGGGGGCACGCAGGGACCCCTTGGAGCTGCCCCCCCCCCCATGGCTCTGCGCTGGGGTCACCCCATGGCAGAGGGAGCCGATGGAGCAGCAGCAGTGGCCGGTGGAGGAGCGAGGGTCCTGGCCACACAGGGGGGCTCGTACCCTGCAGGGGGAGGAAGAACCAAACACCCCCCCCCTTATCCCCAAGCCGAGCCCACCGCTGCTGCAGGAACGCTGTGCCCGGGCCCCCCCGGCTTTGAGCCGAGGGGCTGAGGCCGCCCCACATGGTCCCGGGGGGCTCTTTAGGACTTATTGAAGGCGGCCAGCACAGCCCACACCATCTCCGTGGCCCTGCCTTTGGCAGCCTCCACCTCCGGGTCCATCTCGAGGAGGTCTTTGGTCCTGTTCATGGCCACGTCGTACTTGTCGTCGGCCAGGCTGGCGAAGACGTTCTCCAGCACGTCCGAGGAGTGGGCGAGCACGAGGAGCGCCAGAGTCCTGCGCTCCATGCGGAGCGGGTCCTTGACCCAGCGCTCCAGGACGCTCTCCTGCAGGCGCCGCACCAGGCGCTGCTTCTCGGTGCCGTTGCTGACGGGGTGCGTGGTCATGTCGAAGAGCAGGAAGTTCTGCTTCTCCGTGGTGAGGATCCCCTTCTCCACCAGCGCCTTGGCCACGCGCTCCCGCACGTTCCGCAGCTGGTACTGCAGCTTGAAGGGGTTCCAGGTCTCTCCTGCAGGAGAAGGGAGGTGGTGCAGCAAGGACTTGGGCACCCAACCCCGGCCCATCCCGGCTGCAGGAATCCTGCTCCTCCCCTGGGCCTCACTCCGGCTTCTCCCAGCATCCAAGCTGGGAAAGAGTCCTCAGGGCAGATCCATTGGGAACCGCCCTGTGAACCACTGGCTCCGCATGGGAAAAGATGGGGAGCAAGGTCCAGCTCCCAGAAAAATCAACCTGGAAAACCACCTCTGCCCCCACATTCCGCCTTCCCTTGCTCCGTTCTCAGCGCTCAGCCCCTGCCCAGTGCCCAGCCGTGGGGAAGGGACGGATGACAGGGAGCATCCCAAGGGATGGGGGCTCCAAGCGGCCCTACCGGTGAGCAGCTCTATCCAGGTCTGCACCGTCTCTGCAGCCTCCGTGGCCTTGATGTGCCGGAGGGTCTCATCCAGCAGCACGTCCCCTGTGGGCGCATCCGACTTCAGGAGCACCTGGAAGGGCAGAGCGGGATCTGAGGCTGGATGCGGAGCCGCTGCTCCCGTCCCGCAGCCCCCACGGTGCTGAGGGGCAGCACCGGGCTCCGGCCCCTCGGCACCTTCCTCTCCAGCAGCCTCTTCTTCCTCATGGAGAGCGGCTCGAGGCGGATGCGGCCGCGGAAAGCCAGCTCGATGAGGATGCCGCCGCGCAGCCCCGAGGAGATGCAGTCATTCCAGAAGGACGTGTAGCCCTGGGAGGAACAGGAAGGAGGGGATGGGAGCAGGAGCTCCGTTAGAGCCATTCCCAGCACCTGGACATCACCCAGCTCCAGGGACCCCTCCCACTGGAGCACGGTGCCCCAAGCCCCATCCAAGCTGGCCCTGAGCACTGCCAGGGATGGGGCACGCATTTCCCACACACAAGCAGGAGGAGGAGATTCCAGGTCAGGGATGAAGGATGGGAAAACCCAACCAGCGGGGACCCGGCCCATTCCACATCCGCATGGATGTGGTTGGTGTTTTCCAGGCCTGCCTCAGGAACCACAAGCTCCAAAGCAGCAGGAAGGTGCAGAGCTCTGGAAAACCCACAAAGAACCAGCAGAGGAGCTGGAGTGGGATAAGGGGGGGCAGCAGCAGAAGGGAAGGGAATGGCCAGTTCCCACTTCCACTGGGTGCAGCCCTGGGCTAAATCACAGCCAGAGACTGGAGCTGGCACCAGGAAGGAGGAAGCGTCTGGATAAGAAAGCCTGGGAACGGCCGCCAGGGCCTGCTCCCAACGGGCAGCTCCCCCAGGACACTGCAGCCACAGGAGCCCCGTCCCCAGGGATCGCAGCCTGGGATCAGGCAGCCTCCCCCGTGGGAGCCTTCGGAGGGGGTGCGCTCTGCTCCCGGCGCATCCGGACACACCGGGCTGTGCTCCTGCAGCCCAGCGAGCAGCAGGGGAGGGAGAATCCTCCCCTGCTCCCTTCACTTCCTTGTGTGCAAGGACAAAGGCGCCTTTCATCCCGGCCGTGCCCTGGGGAACCGGTTCCAGTGGAGGTGACCGAGGGCAACTCCAGCAGGTTCCAAGGGCTCTGGAACCACCCGAGCGAGCCCAAAGCTCCCGGTTCCTATCAGGCCCTGAAGCTGCTCCTTCAGTCCCGAAATCCCACCCTGAAATCCTGGGATTTGGATGAAATCGTGGGGGTTTTCTCCCAGTGAGCTGGGAAAAGCCAATGGTGGGAGCCCAGCTCAGCGCCAGGCCCCTGCTGCCTCCCATGCCTCTGGAGAGGAAGGAATGCGGCAGGACAGGACCGCAGGGGCTGCTCACACCTCCTGCGCTCTCCCAACTTCCCGGTGCCTCCACGACCATTCCCAGGAACGCGCTAACCAAGCCAAGAGCACCAGAGCCAGCCCAGGACAATGCGGAGCTGCCGTGTTCCTATGGCCCTGCTCCCATCCCGGAGCTCAGCCGGGTTCCTGACGCAGGGCACCCAGCAGGGTCCTGAGCAGCTCCAGGTGGGAACACGGCACCAGCCCGCACTAACACGGCCCGAGCCTGGCTCCTCCTTTCCCTGCACTCGGGGTGCTCCTGCGTCCAGCAGCCCCCATGGCAGCAAAGCCCAGGGCTCGGCTTCCGCTATGGATGGGGCCGGTTTGCACCAAGGAGGTCGAGCTTTGCCCAGGAGGCCTCTGAGCATCCCCCCCGGCCCCCCCTTTACCTCCTTGTCCTTCAGCCCCAGCAGCAGCACCTCCTCCATCAGCGTCAGGCGAATGTCCTTGGAGTCGTCGGGGTCCTCCTCGGTCGGGTCCCTCTCGGCAGCCGCCTCCTCCTCCCCGGCCCCTTTCCTGCCCTCGGCGCGGCGGCTGCGGTGCGTGAGCGTCGTCATCTCCCCCCGAGCCGAGCTCTGCGCTGGGCACCACGGACACAGCAGTGCTGAGCCCCTGCCCCAGGACCCCCATCCCACCCTGCCCCGGGACCCCGATCCCACCCTGCCCCGGGACCCCCATCCCACCCTGCCCCGGGATCCCCATCCCACCCTGCCCCGGGACCCCGATCCCACCCTGCCCCGGGACCCCCATCCCACCCTTGCCAGGCCTGGGCAGTCACTGGGAGGGAGCAGCCGCTGCCACCCAACGGCTTAGAGCCATGGAGTGAAGCAGGCTGGGCAAGGCCTTTCAGCTCATCCAGTCCCAACTGCCAAGGCCACCACTGCCCCATGGCACTGAGAGCCTCAGCTACTCCAGCCCTGCCCTGGGCAGCCTGGTGCAATGGGGCAGGAATTGTTCCTCAGCTCCATCTAAACCTGCCCTGGTGCAGCTTGAGGCCGTTTCCTCGCGTCCCATCCCTTGGGAGCAGAGCCCAGCCCCTCCTGGCTCCATCCTCCTGTCAGGCACTTGGAGGGAGCGATCAGGTCCCCCCTGAGCCTTCTCTTCTCCATCTGAACCCCCCAGGTCCCTCAGCCCTTCCCCATCACTTGTGCTCCAGCCCCTGCACCAGCCCCACTGCCCTCCTATGGCCCCGCTCCAGCCCCTCAATGTCTCCCTTGCAGTGCGGGGCCCCGGGCTGAGCACAGGACTCGAGGTGCGGCCTCACCGGTGCCCAGCGCTGGAGGGGATGGGACGGGGGTGGGGGGCATCCCCGGGCCGCAGCACAGGGGGGTCCCCCCCGGGGACAGGGGCCGGGCCCGGCCTCACCTCGCAGCGCTGGTACCGCGCGTCCCGGAGCACCCGCCCCGGGGGTGCAGGGGGGGGTACCCGGGCCCGTCCCCGCACGGGGCTCCAGCGCTGCGGGACGAGCTCCGCTCCCCGCCCCGGTCTTACCCTGCCCGGCGGCTCCTTCGCCGGGGGGCGGGAGCTGCTGGGATGCTCCGCCCCCTGCTCCGTTCCTTCCTCCCCTCCCTCCTCCTCCTCCTCGCTCGGCCCGTTGCGCCCGGCCGCCCGCCGAAGGAACACGGGAGCGCGGGGACCTTGGGAGCGTTTTAATCGAGGGCTCGGAAACGGGGGTTCCAAAGGCTCAGCCCGCGCAGGACCGCTCCCGCGGCACACACAGCGGACGGGACGGGACCGGACCTTGGTCGGTAGGCACGGCGAAGAGCCGCGGCCGGCGGCACCGGGAGGCGTTTGGAGCACGTCCGTAAGGAATCTTCCACAGCCCCACAGCTGAAGGCGTTGTCATTACACAGAAACGGAGCTCATCGCATCTATTCCAGCGGGTTTGGCAGGAAATATGGAAGCGGAGGCGCGAAGTACGCTTCTTACTGGAGCGTGGTGCTAAAATGAACCCCCCAAGTGCCCCAGCAGCAAAAGCAGAACATGTAACAGTGCTGAAAGCAAACCCAAGCTTGAATGAACGCAGGACTTGAGGAGGTTTGTGCCCCACAAGGCAGGTTCTGGGTAAGGAGTTCCTCAGCTTTGAAAGAGAGCCCAAAGTTCCTGGGGAAACCTTGAGTTGTGGGGAATGAACCTGTCACAGTCCCCATCAGAGTGCACCAGGCTACAAGCAGGAGTTAAATCCCCAACTCCCCTTGGAACAAGTTCCCTTCGTAGTCCTTCCCAATGGGATACAGCCTCCTATGAAAAATAACTTCTGATCTCTTCAACTGGGCTTCTTGACAGGCTTTTTTCCTTTCAAAACTGACCAGTTTGGATACAAGCAGAACCAAAACGATCCCTAACAGCCATTTCAATAGGAACATTCGCATTCAACGACAACATGGAAGTGGTGTGGAGAACTCTGTGAAGGACCAGCTGCACACGGGCATCTAGAACTGCTCCTTTGGTTCACTGATCTTCCTCCTTTTTGGCAGCACATCTTGACTAGATGAGAGCTCAAACGGATGAACCTGCCAAGGGAGAACAATCCCTGTGTTACCGGGTGCTGCACAGCTCCATGGCATTAGCAAGTGGAACATGGGAAAAGACCACCCTGACCCAGATGCATCAAGAGCTGCATTGAGCATCTGGCTTCATCCTGCTACTACCTGGTCCCCACGCAGAGGTGCTAAGCCTGGAGAAACACCTGGATACTCTTTGCTGGCAGAACTGACCCTCCCTCCAAGCTCCTGAAGGAAGGAAGGCTGGGATGTGCTTATGCTGTTAGAGCAGGAGCTCGTCTGTGGCACAGGGTGCCCAGAGAGGCTGTGGCTTTTCCTTCACATCAGGGAGTAAACGCATCCTCGAGAAGATCTCATCAATCCTAACTCATCTTTCTCAGCCCGTGTTAAGTGCACCAACGTTCAGCTTTCAGCTCTTTGGAACAGATGATTTCTTTTTGGATCCTAAGAATCCAAATGTGTTGAATTTCATGGGAATTTCAGAAGTGATGACAGTTCCATTCTGGCAGTGTGAAATGTATTGAAGCTTAAGAGGTTTATTCACCCTTTGGAACAGAGAAAGGTCTAAAGAACAGCAACAGAACAGTACTAACAGTGCTGGCCTGGAATAGCTTCCCACTCCTTGTCCTGCTCTCTGACATATTAAGTTGAGATGTTTTACTTGCCAAGTGATCCACCTAAAATCAGAAAAGAGATGTTTCCTTGAGAGAGCAGTAAATCCATCTATACATCAGGTTCAGTGCTGTAGCATGCACAGAGCTCTGTCTCTGCTCCCCACTGCTTAAACTGAAATTGAAATGCAGGAGTATTTAAATCCTCAATCATACCCACTGAAGTCACCAGCGCTATTTACAGCTGGAGGCGTCAAAGAGCCCTGGCAGAGGCAAGCAGCAGTTATTTTGATCCATAAGTCACTCACAGTTACCTGGGGCTATGCTTTTTTAAGCTCTCTTAAGGACCTGTGGCTGAAGTCATCCTCCACCTTTAAATTACAGCACCCTGCTGCATGCAGGGATAGAGCCTGAGTCAGAAAGCTGCCTTTTAACAACCTTTAAAGGTGTTTTGGAGCAGAGCCATTGCTGTTGGGCAGAGCATTTAGCGATGGCAGTTTAGCAACATGAGAATTGTATCCCCAGTTCTCCTGACAACAGCCAGCCCATCTGCTTGGTGTGAAAGCTGTCTCACAGATCAAGAGCCTTTTGGTACTGCTCTGGATTGCTTTAGAGTATGAGCAGGTTTTGTGCATCACCAGCAAGTAAAATGTAAAGGCATTTTACTGCTTACAATACTGTTGTAAATTAACCTTTAGCAGCTTCCCTGTTCATTACTCCAAGTAGGAAAGAAGCTTTACAAAAGCTCTAGTAAAAGTTTAAGAAGACAGGATGGGGGTTTCATACCTGAGGGTTAGAAACAGACGAATTCTGGTTCTCCCCAGCCTTTGTAACTCCATCTTCCTCACAAGTTAAGTGTGGTTCTGTGAAAGAGTTTCATAAGCACAGTGTTGACAATCACAGCCTCTCAGCACTGGTGTTTGCCACCAGGAACACTTTGGAAATGCAGGGAATGTGCTCTTCCAAGGGCTCTGATTCTCTGTGTGCAAGCTGGTAACTGACCACCCACTGCCCTCTCTTACATCTTCAGTATTCAATGATTTCCTATCACAGGCATAAAGAGATGCTTATGCTAAGTAGTAGATTTACACACAGGATCTTTGGAAAAGTGGGCTTGATCCCCAAAATCCTTTATACATTGGACAGCTAAAGGCTGGTCTACGTTGGGAATTGCTTAAACGCCTCAGGAATCTATTTTGCACTGCAGAACAGGGAATGTCCCTGTGGGACCACAGCGGCACAGCCTGTGCTGCCTCTGAGCCCACCAGCAGCTTGTAACCAAACACAACCCAAGGGAGCAGCTCCTGGAGCTACAGTTCCCTTGTCACTGCCTGCAGCTGCAGGAAACAGAGGCACAACCTGAAGAGACTTGACAAATACACAGGAATGTTACCTTGAGCTTCTGAAATCTTCACATTATTCCTCTCTTCCACTTTGTTATCCAGGCTGGGATTTTCCTAGATTAAGAAAAGGGACTACCATTTACTGCAGACACAGCAGGAAGAGGGTTTGTACTCAGATGCTCCAGGCCAGAGCTTTCCTTGGATTCGCAGTGGAACAAACTGCACTGAAACCATTTAATCTGACACGGAACATGCAGAGCAGCTCAGCATTAACTCGTTAGTAACGAAACACATTTAATTCAACAACCAAGAAAAACACCTGTAAGAAGTACTACAATTGTAGCTGTCTGTATGTACAGTGCTGCACTAAAGGATCCCAGAGCACATTCATTGCTCTGGCTGTAGCAGCTCACTTCAGCCTGGTAGGGGACAGCTTCAGGGAAGCTTCACTGTGTCCTGTGCTGCTTGTTCAGCTCCACATAACAGGTACCCACAGCACGAAGCTGCTCCTCTGCTCCTCACTCTCCTTGGCTCCTCTCTAGTCTCACAGAGACACAACTACCAACACTGGTGCTGCTGCTGGGCATTCTGCAGATGCACTTGTTCAATACTGCTTTGACAATGACAGATTCTAACTGGAGCAGTCAAATTCGAGGAAAAAACGTACTGAAGACATGATCTTGGTTAAATACATCTGGAAGCCCAGAGGTTTTTATTAATGGCAGAGCAAGACATGCAGTGACTCAATCAGTGGCCTTTCTCTAGGCTACAACCCACAGAACAAGCCACACAGAACATTTGTGCTCTTACATTCATGTCGCGGTTCTCCTCTTCTGGATCATCCCTGTCCACTCGGATCACCTGGAGAGGCACATTTGTCTCTCCTCTCTTCAGGATGCTTTTATCAACATTTTCCATTCGTTGCTTTTCAGTTGTCACTTTTACTTTCAGCATATGAAAAGGCGTTGGCACTTCACCCACGTTCAAATACATGGGCTCCCCTTCAAATATCATCCCCTCACATTCACCCTCTTTAAAGCCAGGGGGTTGGTAATCAGGTGGTGTAACTGCAGGAAAGGATTCATTACATGTGTTAGAATGAAACACATTCTATAAAATATATTTGAACTTGTATGGCAAGAAGACTTTTCTCCTTTAAATACAAAGAGCTCCTAAATAAATGCATGGGGAGCAGAGAATGATCAATGTTCAACTTGCACTAAGTTCTTTTTCCCCCTACACAACAGGCAAAACCCCATTAAAGCTACTTGAAACAATTAAATATAGAAAGAGATGATCTTGAAGCTCTGATTTTTCATTATAAAGCAATGTAAAGTAATACTTGCTGAAAGCAGAGCTAGACATTTAAATAGTGATCCAAACCAGAACTGGCAAACATGTTACATCTTGGCATACTCAGGAAAACTGCTTTAAAATGCACTGAAATCCTGCGCCAGTGAAGTCAGTGACAGCATTTTGTTCCTACAGTGATCAAATCCATTCCCTTTGGATTTTAGAGTGTCATGAGAAACAGACATGAGCGAAATAACATCATCTCACAAGTCCCAACCTCCATAAAGATGCTACATGGAAAGATTTCTCTGAATTGCTTTCCGGTGCCTGAACAGAGTTGAGGAATCGGGGCAAGATGGAAACATTACCTTCATCATAATAGAACAGCTTCATAGTGAGGCAAACATCATTTGGTAAGGGGCTCAGGTTCTGCATCAGGACGTAGATCTTGCGGATGAGGAGGATGCTGGCTTTCTTGGTGTCTGCACAGGTGATGGTGGAGTTATTCCCTGTGTCCTTACTACAAATGAACAGAGTATTCAGAGTTTAATATACCAAGCTATTTTCACCATTTAGATACATGAGTAACAGACTATGAGTGTCAGAAGTGAACATCATCTTCATTGCCCAGGGGCTGAGATTACAGGCACTGCAGCTCCTAATGCTAAGTGACCTGTGTGCTCTTCACCCTTTGGAGATCCAAGCCTGAGGCGGGGGCATCCTGAAAGCATTATGGTTCAGCATCTGTGACCAACTGCTGTATTCTACATTACACAGTGCTTAAACAATACCCAGCAGGAAAGGAGGAGGGAGGAAAAGAAGAGGGAGGAGAGGAGGAGGGAGGAAAGGAGAAAAGAAGGAGGAAAAAAGGAGGAACTTCTGAAAGCCCCAGTTCTATGACGTCTCACATCCTTGCTTTCCCTTAGGTAACACTGTTGACTGACAGGAATGGTTACTGGTAAGAGAACACATTCCAGTACTAAACATTTCACCCTCCACACATGAAGTGTCTTAAAGAACCTGCTCAGAAAGTGCTGGACTCTGACACCAAGAATCACCTTTTGAGGGGACCTTGAAGATGTTGAAGAACATCACCTGCCAAAATGCCTTATTGCATGCGTAAGCTGACAGTGTATGGTGGTACAATGAGGCTTAAGAGCCAGCATGAAGAAAGGAAACACCAAACAGATCAGCTCCCCAGTTTTTACATTCAGGTGGAGAACCCCGGAGCAGAAGATCCCAGGGGCAGTACCTGCTGAAGTCCAGGAGGGGCCCATTGCTGGTGTACTTGAATTTGAAGTGGTAACACTCTGTGATGGTCTGCAAAGAAAGGCAGTGGTTACTGAGCTGTGAGGCAAAGTGCTGCTGGCTGGTAACCTGGTGCTTCAACTAATGACATCCCAACTCCTGCCTCAGGCACGTCCACGCACCCAATACGGCTTTATTCACAGCATTCATGTATGCAACTGCCATCCACAAAAAGAAGGATCTACATTTCCCAGGAATCACCATGAGAAATGAGCTTGAAACAGGTTAAGTTTTCAGGATATGAATGGTAAGTACTACTGCTTGTATACAGGTATGAATGGTAAGTACTACTGCTTGTACACACATTTCACTATATCCATACTATACCCAGTAAAATATTCCAGCAGATTTACCTGAGGATCTTCTGGATGGGTATAGACCTGTATTTTTAAAGTAAAGAGAAAAAGCAGAGTCAGAACTGTTCACCCCTTTAAGCAGCACCTTAACCAAGCATGTACCTTACTCTTCAGAGATACTCACTGCCAGCACAATCATTCTGAGCTGTTGGAAACATAAGGAAAGAAAAAGAACATTAAATGCATTCCATAGCTCACTTCTGCTTGCCAAGCTGTTCTGGTTCTCTAGCTCTGGAGACCAACACAGACAACTGTACTGTCTGAAGGGAAACCTCTTTATATGTTCAATTCCTTGTCTATTTCAGAAAGGCCTTAACAACTGGCAGAAGAAAATGCCCACGTAGCCCTAATTTAAGTGTCTGCTTACAAAGAGTATGATCCTGAGATGGGTATGCAACCACACTGTAGCTGTTTTAACACATTAAAGCACAGCTATTCCCTAACCAGAAAGTCCTGTAACTTTGCTGCAGGTAATGGATTTAGGTCAGTGAATGCTTTAATACATTTAAAATAGCTAAACGATAGAAAGACTTACGTATTTCTTCTGCAAGGCATCGTAGCATCCTAACATCCTGCAAAAACCAGATGATATTGTCCATCTAACCTCCATTTGCTTGGCTTCTGACTAACGACAATGGTCCCACTCCCTCTAAAAATGGACTTGCCATTTCAAGCAACAGTGCCAACCCTGCCCTGAAAGCAGTGCCTGTGCTGCTGTGCAACCACAGCAAGGCACCTTTGCTACCTGCCACCAAGCAGAAAGGTTCCTTTCAGAGCTGCCACGCTGTGGCAGTGTTCCAGATGCACGGAAACCAACGCACCATTTCACCAGCTGAGTGGAGCCAGGACAGTTCTTGTCTTCCCTCAGGATTTTGACACAGACATCTCCAAAAGAGCAGAATGAATCCATGCAGTTACTCAGGACAAAATGGAAGTACATTGCTAAGAAAGGAACGTTCATTCCCTAAAAGCATCTAGCAACAGCAGACTCAAATCAGCATTACCAATAGGTGTAGGCAGAGTTTTAGCTGCTGAGGCAGCATCACCATTAGCAACTGTTCATGTCTTAGTGAAGTTTCAATCCCAGTCACTGAAAATGGCCATTACATTAAGACCAAGTGGCTCTAAAAGCACTCAGTAACTTCTTAACAACCCTTTGACAACAGATTCTGCAAAGCAGCAGGAAACCAGCCTGTTACCATCCATGTATCGTGTCCTGTAGGCACTCTCAGGGAAGATCCCTCTCAGGTACGTAATGCAGGACACTGCTACTGCCAGGAGCCTCTTCACTAGCATCAGGGACTGCTGCTCTGTGGCTATTTTGGTAGGAAACACAACTGCACTCTGAAAGAGGATGGAAGAAGTTAATCCCTGTCCACATCCAACCCGGACAGGCTGCAGTCTGGTCCAGTGCAGGCTTAGCATTTGAATTGAATGGCAAAGTATCACTTTTGCCACTTATTAAGCATATTCCTAACACTTGCTATATTCAGGTCAGAGCTGATCTCTACCAAGTGCACAAGCACAAAGGTCGGACTCAAGCTATTCTGTTACCCTAACTTTGCTCACAGTTAAAAGATGGAATTAACCTGCAGTTCTCAAGTGAAGCAGCACTACAGAGCCCCTGGGGGCACTGCATCAGCTGCAACTGCCTGCCTTTTCCAGTTCAACCACCACCCTGTGCTGAGCACACATGGAAACCATACCGCACAGCTCCTTTGCTTCTGAGCAGTTGCCATCTTGCAGCGCTCTCCTGCCTGTTAAGGAAACACTGCGTTAACACGGCTCGGGCCATTCACAATGCAGGCTGCAGCTATTCCACTTCTGATACCTGAACCCACAAACTCTGCTTGTGCAATGGACCCGTTACCAGCTCAAACCAATGTCTGAACGCGCTGGAGGCACCATCCCGTTAACATTCACACACCGCAGAGACGAGGCCCTCGGTGCCATGGGTTAGGGTGGCCTTGGCAGGACGGGGAGCAGTTGGCCTGGATGAGCTGGAAGGGCTTTTCCACCCCGGTTGTTTCCAAAGGACCCTAAGAAAGGGCTTTCCCTATTGAAGCCACCTCAGGGAAGCATTCCCAAGGTTTTGGGCTGTTTCCCTCTGCAAATTCAGAGTCCTGGGGGAGGAGACCCCTCAGGAGCTTTTCTTGTTACTGAGCTATGCTATTACTAAGCCTTTAAGCCTCAGCACCATGACTCAAGGCTCCCCATCACCTCTACAAACAGAGCAGCACATGCCCAGGGCCATGACAACGGGTCTGTAACGGGGAGGAGAGCTCTGGGCCACGCAGGGAGCTAAGCTTCCCCTCAGAGGAGCCTGCACAGACCCGCCTGGTGCGGGCCGGAGCTCAGCACCTCTGTGAGGAACACGGCGCCAGAGGAGCCCCTCCGCGGCACTGCTCCCTTCACCAGAGCCCGCTGCCCCTCGGGATTAACACCGACCTCGGGAGGGAAACCAGCCCGGGGCAGCAGCACAGAGACACCGAGCGCAGCACCCCACCGCCCCGCGCCCGCACCCGGCCCTCAGAGCCGCCACCGCGCCCGGCCCTCCCCTTTTATAGGGCACGGGGCCGTGTGCAAACGGAGGGGCGGGGCGGCACCGGCGGCCGCGAGCCGTGCGCACCAAGATGGCGGCGGCGAGGGGGGTGCGTGGTTATGGCTGCGTGCGGGTGATGTACAGGGGAAGGAAGGTCAGGCTGCTTGTTTAAGGTGCTGTTGCTTCCTCATGCTTATCGCAGGTGCGATGTACAAGGGGTAGATCAAGCCGCTCGCTTAACAGTGTGACTGGGAGGCAAACAGACCCCACAACTCGTTAGGGTTGTAAAGCAGGTACGCTTTATTCAGCGCTGAGGCGCATGGGGATTGCTCCTCCGAAGCATGCGCACCCTTCCTTTGACACTCAGTTTATTACCTATAATGATTGCCTAAATATGAGATTGCTTCACACCTCATGCATATGCAAACCCAATTCTCATCTAGGATTATAATTAGTTTTCTGGCATTCGTCCCATTGGTGCGCCTGCGCCGTGCCTCCTGGTGGTGGTCGTTGGGGGTTGTGAGGATGAAGGCCTGTAGTTCCTCTTCATCACTGCAAGTAGCCTCTTGCTTTCACGCAGACTCAATAGGGTTTCGGCTCCTGTCCAAACCTCAGGTTCGGTACAAGCTGTTTTTATGTATATTAAAGCAGAAACTTGCAGAGTTTGGAAATTCCGTTACTCTATTTTTTTGTTCCTTTTCTTTCTAAGGATACTAGTTGAACAAGAATGTCTTCCGCGTTATGAATCTTACGTACTACAATTCTGCCTAGCAGCTCTAACTCCTGCAATTCTGCTTCACCTTTCTAGCAACTTTGGCTCCTACGGTTCTGCTTCACCCATCACAGCAACTGCTTAAGCAAGCAGGCACAATGTTAACCCTTTATTTCCTGGTATCAAGTAGGGGTCTTCAGGATGAAGTAAGCAGTCTTCCTCACAGTGTACTTTTCACCTTTGGCACAGCTGGACGCCCCAGCAATCACACAACCAGCTGTGCCTGTAATTCTGATAACTATCAAAGATTTAAAACAGTGTGACCTGCCTGCCAAATCTATTGCAGGACGGGCAGACAAGATGGTTGGGAGGCTCTGTCTCTAAGCTAACTGGTAAGTAGAAGGACGGTGTGAAATAACTCACTCATGTTTAGCGCGGCCACTACATTCCACACACAACATAAACGCTGTTCTCTTTCTACAACATAAGTTAAGCTTTATGTTTCCCAGGCACCAGCTTTCCTTGTATCAAGGGTCTCTTCTTTCTTTTACCTTTACAAATTCTTTTGCTATGTGACTCCGTTTTGCTCAAGAGTTCTGGCCCTTTTTCACGTGTTGTCTAATCTTGTGTCCTGAGCGAGCTTTGTTTCTGTTACTGTGAACTGCCACAGTTATATCCGCATAACCACACCTCTGCCTTGTGAAAGCCAATGCATTTAGGTGTTTATCACACTGCCTCACTCTATGGAATGGCAGCAGCGCTGCGGACCGGAAATGACGCGTGCGCGGCGCGGGGGCGGTGGAGCCCTAGCCGCAGCCGCAGTCGCAGCCGGAGCCGGGCCGCAGCCGGAGCCATGTCCGCGGGCGGAGCAGCGCAGCGCGATGCCGGGGCCGCCGCCGGGTGAGGCCGCGCCGCGGGTCCCTCACAGCGCCCCCGGGCAGCGGCGGCGGCTCCGGGGCCCGGCCTGGAGCTGCCGCGGCCGCCGCTGAGGCCTCTGTGTTTTGCAGGCGCCGCAGTAAATGGGACCAGCCCGGCCCGGCCCCCGCCTTCCTCCTCCCGGGCACGGCGCCGCTGCCCGGGCGGCCCTTTCCCGGCGGCGGCGACGGCGGCTCCGCGGTGGCGGGGTCCGAGAGCTCCGCGGCGCCCTCGGGAGCGCTGGATGCGGCCGCGGCCGTGGCCGCCAAGATCAACGCGATGCTGATGGCCAAGGGGAAGCTGAAGCCGGCGCCCAGCACCGCGGACAAGGTGGGTGCGCGCAGCGGAGCGGGGGGGGCAGGGGGGTGTCACGGCTGTGATGGGGAGACCTGCGGGCCTTGAGTGTCCGAGGAGCCCTCGGCGAGGTGGGAAAGGATGGAGAGCGGAGAGGCCCGGCCTGGTTTGGGTTGAAGGGACCTTAAAGCTCATCCAGTCCCAAGTCCTGCCACGGGCAGGGACCCCTTCCACCGGAGCAGGGTGCTCCAAGCCCCTGTGTCCAACCTGGCCTTGAACACTGCCAGGGATGGGGCAGGCACAGCTCCTCTGGGCACCCTGTGCCAGCGCCTCAGCACCCTCACAGGGAAGAGCTTCTGCCTAATATTGAACCTAAATCCCCCATTTCAGTTTGAACCCGTCACGCGTTCTCCTGTCGCTCCAATCTCTGACAAAGGCCCCTCTCCAGCATCCTTGTAGCCTTTTTTCAGGCACTGGCAGCTGCTCTGAGGTCTCCACGCAGCTTCTGCCATCTCTATGTCTCTGGCTTTTTCTTTCAGAGCACTTAGGTACTGGCACAGAACGTGGTGCCCTTGATTTAAACCAAAAACCGAGGGGGGAAAGTGTAGTCATGGTGTGGGCAAGCTCAGGTCTTGAACAGGAGCTCTGTGTTGAAGAGGAGTTGAAATATGAATCCCAGGTGTTCTTAGGCTCAGCTTTCTGCCTGAGCTGCCAGCTTGAGTGTGAGATGCCTTGGGTTCGGTTTGAGCAACTTTGCTGCTTGCTTCTACATCTGTTTTCTCTATTTATAGAGCAGAAGCAGCAGTTAGTTATGGTACTCCAGTGTGCTGAAGGTAAAAGTGGTGGTTTGATTTAGGCACAAGGTTGTGAGAGGTAAACGAAGTAGTGGATGTGGTGTGCTTTCTGTTAATGTCTGTAAAGGTTCAACAGCTGAAACGGGAGAAGGGAAAGGATTTTCCCCTCTAGAGCACCAGGGCCCGGTGGTTGCATCGTTTTTCTCTGCTTTCTATCTATTTCTGGTCTTTTGCCACGGTTCTCTTTGAAGCTGCAGGCGTTGGGAAAAGGTCCAGCTACAAATAAAAGCAAAGATGACCTTGTGGTGGCAGAGGTGGAAATCAATGACGTGCCCCTCACGTGCAGGAACCTGCTGACGAGAGGACAGACTCAGGATGAGGTACGGGCAGGATCTACGGCTGCTTTGTTGGGCTTGGCAGCACGCTTGGGCCTCTTTGTAAGGCCAAAAGAGCTGCAATCGACTACAGTTGGTGGTGGTTTCCTTTTTACCAAGCTCAGGGTTTTCTGAAGACGCTTTGTTTAGTGGTGTATTCACTACAGTATCATATAATGAGCTCAGGTAGCACAGTTGGTATCTTTTAGTGGGTCCCATCCCTTTTCTCACCACGTTATTAATGTGTCTGTTCCCTATAGATCCCAACAAAGCTTAAACACTTTGGGGTTTTGCTGTGCTTGCTTTCTTGGTGTTAAACTTGTCCCTGGCCTTTGCAATCATTTGTAGATAAGTCGCCTGAGTGGAGCGGCTGTATCGACCCGCGGGAGGTTCATGACAGCAGAAGAGAAAGCCAAAGTGGGACCAGGGTTTGTATTCCTCTTTGGGGGCTCAGTGGTGGGGCTGTAGGGTTGGTTTCCATGGGCAGTGTCACCCTTGGGGGCCAGTCAATGGAGTATTGAGTGTTTGGAATGTGTTTGCCATTAGTGTAGTGCTAAGTGCATGGCTGTTCCCCCACCTGCCTAATACTGAGAGATGAAACAAAGAGTGTCTAAAGTCCTTATGGAAGGCTTTCTGTCTGTAACATAAGTGTATGTATTAGATTGGCTCCGGTCTTGTGTGTTCCTTGGGAATTTAGTGGCATATTTGACTATTTCCTTTCCAGAGATCGTCCTTTATATCTTCATGTCCAGGGCCAGACACGGGAGCTGGTTGACAGTAAGTGCAAAATGAATCCTGCTCTTCCATCATTACTTGTGGGAAAGGGGGGAATTAAGGGCCTTTGTTATGGCCAGCATGGATTTGTACTGTAAACGTCTTGGTGTTGGTAACAGATGCTTGTTGCATCCTTTCTGAGCCAATCTGGAATGCTAATACTAGGTTTGGGTGATCTGGACAGTTGACAAGGGCCAAAACAACTGAGTTCCCTGTTTTGTCAACTAGGAGCTGTTAACAGAATTAAAGAGATCATTACTAATGGAGTAGTGAAAGCAGCTACAGGCTCTAGTCCGACCTTCAACGGAGCTACAGTTACTGTCTACCACCAGCCAGCCCCTATTACTCAGTTGTCTCCAGCAGTTGGTCAGAAACCTCCATTCCAGTCAGGGGTGAGTAATGCACTGCTGTGACTGTCACTGGTGACACGATTTACCTGTCACAAAGTGTACAGTGTGTGTCCTGGAGGACTGATCGAGCTGAGCCTGAAGAGTGAGGCTCAGGGGACAGCAGCCTCCTAAAAGAAAAGGGATGGAGAGAGCAGTCCTGCTTACAGAAGAGCAAAGGGCTGACTGTGCCATCTGACACTCGCCTGTCACAGGAACAACATTTCTAGCCTCGTACTTAGAGTGAAATAACAAGCTTTTACTGTTCCATTTCCAGATGCATTATGTTCAGGACAAGTTATTTGTTGGATTGGAACATGCTGTACCTACGTTCAATGTGAAGGAGAAGGTGGAAGGGCCTGGTTGCTCCTATTTGCAGCACATTCAGATTGAAACGGGTGCCAAAGTCTTTCTTCGTGGCAAAGGCTCAGGTTGCATAGAGCCAGCATCGGGCAGAGAGGCTTTTGAACCCATGTACATTTACATCAGGTATGAGGGGTGTTTGGAAACAAACAGCAACAACGGAAGAAGGAGCTCGCAGGAACACTGGTGCTGATGAGCTCTTCCTTTGTGTGTGTTTGCAGTCACCCAAAGCCAGAAGGTTTGGCAGCTGCTAAAAAGCTGTGTGAGAACCTATTGCAAACCGTGAGTAGCTCTTACAGAGCCTGTCACAGCCCCGGTGTGTGCCTGGCTGTTGCTGCTTTGTGTGCTCCCAGCCAAACTGCCCCTGTGTCCGGGCTTCCTAAGGGTGTTTTCCCTTCCGAGCACTGCTGAGTCTTTCTGTTAGCATTGGTAATGGAGCGTGGGCTGCAGAGCCTCTTCTGAAGAATAGATGGAAGCTTTTAGCTTCTTTGACTGAAGTGGTTTGTTTGCCACTGTGTTTCCTGTGCAGGATTATCCTGTGTGTTACAGGAGTCTGTCCCAGAGCCAGCAGGATGAGTGGGGTTTTGTTCTCAGTGTGTGTGTGTGTGGATTGTTGCCATCCCTCTGCATGCTGTGTTCTGGAAGCAAAGCCCCCTTACAGCTGTGTGGTCAAATGCCTTTTTGCCTGTGAAAGGTTAATACACTACATAGTGAATGGTTCTTGTCTAATCTCTGCCAATTCCTTGCAGGTTCATGCTGAGTACTCTCGGTTTGTGAACCAGATAACCACTGCAGTACCCCTAGCAGGTAAACCTCCACAATACTGAAGCGTTTGGAGTTGCATTCTGCAGAGTTGTGCTTGCAGTTAGTTCTGTGGGAGTCTTGAACTTGCAGCCCTTCATTTTTGGCAGTGAAACGGGGTGTTTTGGTGACAGACTGGATTGAAGATGGTGTTTTCCCTCTAGGCTTCACACAGCCTGCCGCTATCAACAGCGTACCTTCCCAGCCCTCCTATTACCCTTCCAATGGCTACCAGTCTGGTTATCCTGTGGTTCCTCCTCCTCAACAACCAGTTCAGCCACCGTATGGGGTACCAGGCATAGTACCACCTGCAGTACCTTTGGCACCTGGAGTCTTAACAACGCTACCTACAGGAGTTCCACCTGTGCCAACGCAGTATCCCATATCTCAAGTACAGCCTCCAGCCAGCACTGGCCAGGTACTGCCACAGTTCATCTTTTGCCCTGTAGTTGTCAGTTTATGAAGTTGTTTCTTTGCTAGCACGAAAATACTCGGAGTAGTTCCAGATGGAGAATTCCTGAGGGCTTTTGGATTTGTTCATGCTTTGCTGCTGTCTGAGCAATGACATTGTTGGATGGCTGCTTCAGCCTCTATTTTTCATAACCTGTGAACATGAAGGATATTTGCAGGGGGTGCTCACTCCCATAGGGAAGGTGTTACCACAGGCTTTGATGCAGCTCTGTGTAAGTACAATGGGCTGGAGCTACAGACAGTGATTAGTTTCTAGAAATGAAATACTTGTTTCCTCTTGAAGTTGTGAATTTCCTTCCAGTTTCTCTTCAGTTCTGCCTATTTGTGTGTTCTGCTCCTGTGTCTGAAAGGCTGCGTTTGATGTATGCTTCCTATGCCCATTATCAAATTTTCTTGTCTTTCATCTTCTGCACGCCAGAGCCCACTGAGTGGTCCTTTCCTTCCTGCTGCCCCGGTTAAAACCACCCTGCCGACTGGTTCACAGCCCCAAGTCCAACCCCATCCCCAGGGTCAAAAGCGACGCTTCACTGAGGAGCTGCCGGATGAGAGGGAGTCAGGACTGCTGGGATACCAGGTGGAATAAAATCACCCATTTTACTTCATTCACCAAAGCAGAACTTGGCTGCAGAGGGATGATTTAGCACAGTTGATCTGGGAAGAGTCGTGCAAGGCCTTTGGCAGACGGCTGCGGTTGTTGCACAACCTCAAGACCATGCTTTGGTTTCTTTGAGTGGATGCACCGTGGTTAAACTGTGACTTGCTGATGCATTGGCACCTTGTTTTCATACCTCAGCCTTCCCTGAAGGCTGCTGGTGCATTCAGGTCAAAGAGATGCCCACAGTGTGTTTTTGCTTAGTTTAAAGGGAGATTCTTTGGGGTCTGGGGGGTCTTTTGCAGGCTTGTTTGAAGGGTGGGAGGGAACCGTGGTAGTAACTCCCAGATTTTCCCCATTTACCTTCCTTGCAGGTTGCACTTGAGAGGATTTCAAGCAGCCTGAGTTAGAAATAGTTATTTTTGTTTTAGAGAGCAGAGCAGTTGATTTTAGTTAAAGCAATTTTGAGTTCTTCAGGCTTGTATGTGAGAAAAGGGAGCTTCTGCAAATGCTCCTCAGGTCGTCCAGCCCTGCTCACATAAAACCTCTGCCTAGAGGCAGTAAGCGCCTGGCTCTCTGTTAGCCCTACTATGACCATCTCCAGCAGAGTTGACTCTGTACAGTGCTCAGAATTAGCTGACCGAGGAGGGAATAAGTTATCCATGAACCAAGGCTACTGCTGAGGTGGAGCAGGCGATGAGGTGCCTTCCCTCGTACTTCTCAGGCGTGTTCCTTACTGCATTACCCTCAGTATCTTTAGGAGAAAGCCTCTTGTTGAACAGGGGTGGTTAGTGGTTCCTTCTGCTAGTTGGCAATATGCTCTGAAAAGTTGGCTTTCCTATCATTATCATTAAGGAGCTGGAGCTTATGTTGTAGTGGTAGATTTGCTAATGCCGTGTGTTTTTCTGCTCATAGCATGGACCCATTCATATGACTAATTTAGGTACAGGCTTCTCCAGTCAGAGTGAACTCGATGGAGCCGGGTCGAAGGCAGCAAGTTCCTCAGGAAAGGAGAGAGAGAGGGACAGGTGAGTGAGGGCAGGATGACATCCAGGTCTCTCCTGATCCTGATGGAAAGCCGAGGGGATCTGTGTTTCATGTTCTCTGCTGTGAAACAGCACCAGAGCATGGTTGGGGTTGGAAGGGACCTTGAAAGAGCATCTAGGCCACCCCCTCTCTTGTGGAAAGGGACATCTACTAGATGATGCTCCACGCAGCTCGGTGTCATTGGTACCCCTGTCTGGCATCGATGAAGATACTAAATAGTATTGCTCCCAGTATGGACCCTTGAGGGATACCACTTGTTTACTGGTTTCCACTTGGATGCTGAGCTGTTGACTGTAATTCTTTGGATGTGGCCATCCAGCCAATTCCTTACCCATTTAATAGCCCATCCATCAAATCCTCTCTGATTTAGAGCTAAGAATGTTGGGGTGACCATAGTGAAGCTTTACAGAAGTCCAGGGAGGTGACATCAGTTGCTCTTCCCTTGTCCACTGACGCAGTCGCTCCATCTGAGAAGACCACTAGATTAGTCAGGCAATTAAAAGTTAGGGGTCAAGGACTGCCTCCTGAGCTTGTTTGCTGTTACCTTTGACTCTCTGCTTGCTTAAACCACAAGAACTAAGGGCCTGCATTGCTTTAAACAGGCAGTTGATGCCTCCGCCAGCTTTTCCTGTCACTGGGATGAAATCGGACTCTGAAGACAGAAATGGTGCGGGGTCTTTACCAGGCAACCATGGTGAGTGCAGTGAATGAGAGACACTTGTAAGTCAAGTTTCCTTTCCCATATGGGTTCACGCTGGTCTTAATGTGTTTAAAGCAGTGGGGCTTCTTTTTGGCTCTTTAGACTGTCTAGACGGAAAGCAGCTCATGCTGCACTGCTCTAAACCCACTGTGATTAAACACAGGATGCTTCTCTTAGAGCCTCAATAAATACCTGTATGGATGAGGAGAGTGTAATGGACTGAAGGACAGGTGTTTTTGACCCAGAGGCACACGATCTCCTAGGCTTGTTTTGTAACACGGATGTCCTGTGGCTTTACTTTGTGAACAGCTCTCTCTAGAGGCACTGTCGGTGGGAGTTGTGGTTCAGGTGTGTATGCACAGACACGAGCTGTGTCTGCAAAGGACACAAGTGCTCTCAGAGCCCATCCTCTCATAGGGCTGGGTTTGCAGCTTGGTAAAACACGGCATCACTCGAACTCTTGGGGTCGGTTGGTGCCTGGCAGGCCTGCAGGTGCCTCACGTTAGGCCTCTTTAACGGCAGTTTCTCTGCAGTATTGCTCCCAGAGGTTGTCCTTCTGTGAGCTTGCTTTTGAGCTAAGGTCCTCCTTTTCTTGACGCGTTGATCTCTGTAACGGTGACGTTGCCATCGCTGACGCCCAGTTGCTAACTTGCCCTTTCTTGTGTGTTTCTTTCTTCTTTCTCTGTTCTCTTACATGGTTCTGATGGATCACATGTGCTGTTGCTGCTGGTGTTTCGTGTGGCCTTCGACCTTGGATGACCATTGGCCTTGTGACCTCAAAATGGTGTCCAACTAACGATTTACAATTAACGTCTTTTTTTATTAACTCGTTTTGGGGCATTTTTATCTCTTTTTGGTTTGATTTTTCCCTTCTTGGGGGCTGGGGGGTGTGTGTGTTTTGTTTTCCCCTCCTAGATCATCAAGCAAAGAAGATGAAAACTGCAGAAAAGGGCTTTGGTTTAGTGGCATATGCTGGAGATTCATCAGATGAAGAGGAGGAACATGGGGGCCATAAAACCGCAAGTACCTTTTCACAGGGCTGGAGTTTGGGGTACCAGTACCCGTCCTCACAACAGCGAGCTAAGCAACAGATGCCATTTTGGATGGCACCCTAAGAGCTGCAGAGAAGAGTTTTCATTCATCTGGGTTTTTTTTCCCCCCCTTTAGCAATAATGCATGTATATTACAGCCTGAACTTTGCAAATACCCCTTGTTTTTACAGTTGCAGAAGTTAAAAGGTTCAGTGTTCCCCCCTTTGAAAGGGATCCATCGTTTTAAAGCTCCTTATTTCTGCAGTGAATCTGTCCAATAAAACCCCACCATGAACTGCAGTAGTGGTGACAGGGCTAGGCCCTTGTGCAGCGGGGGAAGCGCTGTGAAGAGAAGAGAGGGAAGGCTCCCTTGTTCCAGGATCACTTAAAAAGGGCCTGAGTCAGTCCCGCTGCCTTCACCCTCCGCCTGGTGCTTGTGTTGTATGGAGCGCTCCTGCGCTCGGCCTGGGTTTGCAGCCCTGTTTGAGCTGATGGTGACCACAGCTTCGGTGTTGGGACTCTGAGCCAGGGAAAGGAAGGCACAATCGCTGTGACGAAGCTGAGGAGCGGGGTTCTTCAACCTTTTCCTTTGTGTTTTACTTCTCGAGCATCTCCTGTAACTCAGCACCGGGGTTTGCTTCTTTTACTGCCCCACACCTCCTCCTTCCAGCCGGATGGGGAGCACATGGGTTTGTCTCCATCTTCTTGCCTCCCTCCGGGCTTGGTCCCATGCCTGAGGCACACAGGACTCCTGCTGAGAGCTTGGCTTCATCTCTTCCTTCATCCTCCACCCCTTGTGGCTCACGGTGGGCACCGTCCAGGACCCCTCCTGCCTTGACCCCGGGCCCAAGCTCTTGGCCTGGGGCTGGACATGAACTGGAACAGGCGTTTGCGTGGCGGTGCAGAGCTCTCGGATGGGGAAGGGCCGTGGCGAGGTGATGCTCGGCGTCTGGAACGGGACAAACGGCCTTGAACCGGGGCTGCGCGGTGCTGCCGTGCCCCGGGGGCCGCGCTTGGACACCCCCGGCCTCCCCCCCGTGCTGTAAATACCCGGACCCCCCTTTTGTGGCCATTAAAAGTGCAAAGAGCCCGGGTCTGGCCGCTCGCTGGGGTGCGGGTCCCTCCGGGGGGCAGAACGCGAAGGGAGCGGCGGCGCCAGCGCGCTTGCGCTGACCCCTCCGGGCCGCCGTCCAGCGCCGCCCCTCGGCGCGGCTCTGGCGGTGAAGGAGCCGCCGCCATTTTGGTGCCGCCGCCGCCGCCTGAGGTGGAGGAGCCGGCGGAGGCTGAGGAGAGCCGCGGGGCCAGCGGCCGCCGTTCGCGATCGTTCTCTCCGCCGCGACGCTGAGGAGATGGAGCCCGGAGCGCGGCCGGGCGGCGGCGCCGCGCCGGGGCAGTCCCGCGAGTACAAGCTGGTGATGCTGGGCGCCGGTGGTGTCGGCAAGAGCGGTGCGTGCGCGGCGGGGCCCGCGGGAGGATGGCTCCTGACGGCCGTGTCCGGATGCTCGGGGCGGGGGGACGGGACGGGACGGAGCCATCGCGCTCCGGTGCCCGGCGTCTCTCGGCTTGCAGCCAGCGGGGCTCTGGTTCCGCTGCCGGGGGAGGAGCGGGCTGAGGCCCGGTAAGGGCTGGATGCTGGGGCCGCGGGTGCTGCCCAGCCCGTGCCATTGCGCCTCTGGCTTTCGTTTGTAGCCATGACCATGCAGTTCATCAGCCACCGCTTCCCGGAGGACCACGATCCCACCATCGGTAAGGAAAGGCTCTCTGTGCCCTCCAGGTGAAGCTCTTGGGGGGGCCCTTGCTTGCAAGCACTCGGTTGAAAGCGAGCTGTGCTTTGGGCTGTGAAGTTGAGGACCAAAGTCTTTTGGGTTTCTCACTTAAAGCTATGAGGAGTCCTGAGGCTGCTGGGGGGCCCGGCACAGACCCAGGCTGAGGTTTAGCTCCTCACTGCTTTCCCTTTCCCATAGAGTCAGGCCATTCGCTGTCTGTGTTGGCAGGAAAGGGCTGGAAACCCGCGGGGGTCAGTGCGAGCTGCCTGTAAACCCACTCCCCATGGCGGGGAGCAGCTCCCTGCTAGGAGCCTGTCAGCCCCAGTTGTGTCCTGTGGTTTAGAGACTGAGAGGGGGGGAAGCACCCGACAGCTTCCTCTGCCACTGCAGGACCTCTGCAGCATCCCAAAGGAACCTCTTCCACCAGGGCAAAGGGAGAGTGGGAACAGCAGCGGCCTCGGAGGAACACAGCGTTCATTCATCAGCTTCCAAGGGAGCAGCAGCTGGGGGGGGGGCAGCTCTTCCTCACATTCCGGGTGTGTTCTGCCTTTGGGAGAAGGGCAAGGCCCTTCCTCTGTGCTGTGAACTGAAGGGAGGTTGTGGAGCGGAGTCTGAAAGAGCAGGGCCAGCGCTGGGACTTCAGCAAGCGTGCAGGAGGACCTTAAATCCCATCGTTCGGTGTTAAACTTTGAGACCTGAGAGCCCCTGAGTGTTGCACTTGTGGCCAACCTTGTTCTTTCCCTTGTGCTGTGGATTCACAGAGGATGCTTATAAGATACGGATACGCATTGATGACGAACCTGCCAATCTGGATATCCTGGACACAGCAGGACAGGTATGGCAATAAAGAACATTAGGAGGATGTTAAGTGTCTAATGGTCAGGCATGGAGACAGCAACCCTGGAGCAGTATCCATGTCTTTGCTTTTTGAGCTTTCCTAAGCCTTGTGTTGCTCACAGCATCTGTATCACACTGTCTGTATTTAGGCACCTCAGGAGGGTGCTCTGCTTCCAGGCAGTGCTTTCTCTGCTGCAGCGTTCTGTTCATGATCAACAAGCAATAGGTCCTGGTGATAAATGGTGTGTTGGGGTGATGTCTAGCGAGGACACTTGGTGTTAATCCCAGCATGTGCTGCCTTGTCCTGCAGTAATGGAACATTAGAATGGTGTGGGTTGGAAGAATCATAGAATGGTGTGGGTTGGAAGGAACCTTAAAGCTCATCCAGTTCCAACCCAGACCCCTTCCACCGGAGCAGGGTGCTCCAAGCCCCTGTGTCCAACCTGGCCTTGAACACTGCCAGGGATGGGGCAGCCACAGCTTCTCTGTGCCAGGGCCTCTCCCCCAGCTGACAGTGCTCACACTGCTGCTGTGCACGTGGGGTCCATGGTGAGCAGCTCAGAAAGCGCTGGTGCAGCTGCAGCGTCCTCATCTCTTTGCAGGCAGAGTTCACGGCCATGAGGGACCAGTACATGAGGGCTGGGGAGGGCTTCATCATCTGCTACTCCATCACGGACCGGCGCAGCTTCCACGAGGTGCGCGAGTTCAAGCAGCTCATCTACCGCGTGCGCCGCACCGACGACACCCCCGTGGTGCTGGTGGGCAACAAGTCCGACCTCACGCAGCTGCGGCAGGTAAACGGCCCCCACCAGGCCCGGCCTGCAGGCTCCTCCTGGTGGGAAGCGCAGGAAGGCAAAGGGCTCCCTCTGAACCCATCACCCCTTGTCCTGTCCCCACAGCCCCTGGGGAAGGCCCCTCTCCAGCATCCTTGTAGCCCCCTTCGGACACTGGAAGCTGCTCTGAGGTCTCCCTGCAGCTTCTCGTCTCCACTTTGCAAAGTGGCTTTGTTGTTCATGAATGTGCAGAGGGTTCCTTGCAGTTGGCTGCGTTGCTGCAGAAGTGAGGAGTGAAAGTGAAAGAAAAACAGGTTTTCAGAGAAAGACGTAGGAAGCTGTGGCCCTGAGCTGTCGTGGGGCAGGGAAGCTGCATGTGCAGCTCCAGAGCAGGCAGAACAAGAGGAGTAAACCTGGTACCAGCACCAGCGTGGCGGCAGCGCCAGGGCAGGGATTGTGGTGAGGCTGCACCTTGAATCCTGTGTTCAGCTCTGGGCCCTCACTGCAAGAGAGACCTTGAGGTGCTGGAGCAGGGCCATAGGAGGGCAATGGAGCTGGAGCAGGGCCTGGAGCACAAGTGATGGGGAACGGCTGAGGGACCTGGGGGGTTCAGATGGAGAAGAGAAGGCTCAGGGGGGACCTGATCGCTCCTTCCAAGTGCCTGACAGGAGGATGGAGCCAGGAGGGGCTGGGCTCTGCTCCCAGGGAACAAGGGATGGGACACGAGGAAACGGCCTCAAGCTGCACCAGGGCAGGTTTAGGTGGAGCTGAGGAACAATTCCTGCCCCATTGGACCAGGCTGCCCAGGGCAGGGCTGCAGTCACCGGCCCTGCAAGTGTTCACACACTGTGGAGACAAGGCCTCAGTGCCGTGGGGCAGTGGTGGCCTGGGCCGTGCTGGGGTAAGGGTTGGCCTGGATGAGCTGAAAGCTCTTTCCCGACCCCTTTGATTCCATGCTTCTGGTTTTGCCTTTCCTGACGGGTGGGGTTTCTATTGCAGGTCTCTAAAGAAGAAGGCTCATCTTTAGCTCGAGAGTTCAACTGCCCCTTCTTTGAGACGTCGGCCGCGTTCCGCTACTACATCGACGACGTGTTCCATGCCCTGGTGCGGGAGATCCGCAGGAAGGAGAAGGAAGCAGTGATGGCCATGGAGAAGAAATCCAAACCCAAAAGCAGCGTGTGGAAAAGGCTCAAGTCCCCCTTTCGAAGGAAGAAGGATTCAGTCACTTGAACAGAGAGGATTCCTCTGCCCATAGAACAAAACCTGGGAACAGCCGTTTGTAACCAAAGCAGTTTAGTGACAACGTTTTGGTGGTGTCTTAAACCTGAACGGACTTCTGTGAGGGAAGACCTGACTTTTACCAGTCCTTGTTTAGACTGATGCTCCCTTCATTTCGGACATTCCACTTCAGACCAGTAGCAGCTGTCCCGTTGTTTGTTGTCGGTTGTGGACTGGATCCAGCAACTGTTGCTTGTAGGTTGGTTACGGATGCTGCAGGTCTGTGGCCCTGCACTTGGGAACGTCTCTCTTCGCGGCGTGCTGGCAGCTGAATTGTGTTAGGATATTGCTGAAGTTCTCCCCACCTTACCTTCATGAAGCTTCTGTTCTCGTGGTTTGCACAAGCAGATGTTGCTGCTCTCGGGAGCAGTGACCCACATCCCACGGGGGGGCTTGTTGAGGTCGTGGTGAGGAGTAGTTTACACCGTGTTCGTCGTGGCCAGCAGCCTTGGGTACCACTGCCAGGAGCTGTGCTGGAGTTCTGGTGTTCTCATGTCACTGATTTCCTTCCAGCACCAGTGTGGAAGTGGTGAGTTCCTAGCGGAGGTGGAGGTGGGCTTCAAACCAAGTCAGAAGCAGCAAATCCTGGTTCCTATGGCAGCTGTAACTTGGCAACAGGCGTGGAGAGGGAACAGTTTCGTGCTGTCCCCAGCATTTACTGGGTGCCACAGCATGTGTCATGTCACGATGCTGCAGGAGCCACAGCTTTGGGTTCTCTGACTTGCTTGTTGAAAGCCATAGCTGTGGGGGGGGTTGGCTTATTTATTTCCACTCTGGTTCATGTTCCTGTCCTAAAGGAGCCAGGAGCTTTGGGAAGTAGAAGCCTCCAACGTAGCAATTCCAGATCATTTCCTGTGATAACTCCTTTGTAGACAAAATGCCTGATCCTGAGGAATCTGGGCCTAAAATTAACACCCCCAATGCTGGTAAGATGCTTCCAGTGCAGTCTTAAAAGTGGAATTGCTGATGCAGTGGAAGGAAGGGATCAGCTGGGCGCAGTGGAAGGAAGGGATCAGCTGGGCGCAGTGGAAGGAAGGGATCAGCTGGGCGCAGTGGAAGGAAGGGATCAGCTGGGCGCAGTGGAAGGAAGGGATCAGCCGGGCGCAGTGGAAGGAAGGGACCAGCTGGGCGCAGTGGAAGGAAGGGATCAGCTGGGCGCAGTGGAAGGAAGGGATCAGCTGGGCGCAGTGGAAGGAAGGGATCAGGTGGGCGCAGTGGAAGGAAGGGATCAGCCGGGCGCAGTGGAAGGAAGGGATCAGCCGGGCGCAGTGGAAGGAAGGGATCAGCCGGGCGCAGTGGAAGGAAGGGATCAGCCGGGCGCAGTGGAAGGAAGGGATCAGCCGGGCGCAGTGGAAGGAAGGGATCAGCCGGGCGCAGTGGAAGGAAGGGATCAGCCGGGCGCAGTGGAAGGAAGGGATCAGCCGGGCGCAGTGGAAGGAAGGGATCAGCCGGGCGCAGTGGAAGGAAGGGATCAGCCGGGCGCAGTGGAAGGAAGGGATCAGCCGGGCGCAGTGGAAGGAAGGGATCAGCCGGGCGCAGTGGAAGGAAGGGATCAGCTGGGTGCAGTGGAAGGAAGGGATCAGTTGGGCGCAGTGACAGTCCCTGAAGGGTCACATCCTGACCTTCCGTGTGCAGGTGGCACAGGGACAGGCTTTCTTACACTCAGTAAAGAAGGATCTGGTTAAAGTGCTGCTGACACTCTCCATACATAGACTCGTTCTGTGCTTTGGAGCTGACTGACACCCATGTCAGCTGTGGAGTTAAATCCAGCAGAGACACGATGTCTGGTGCTCCCCTTGGGTTTAATAACAGCACAAACCATAGCTGGGTAACTGAGATGTGGCTAAACCAGGTTTCCTGGAGAGCAAAGTGCCTGGAATCTTTCTGTTTCAGAGGGAAAGAGCTTTGTGGGCTGAGTGTAGGAGAGCTTCCATCATTCTCTGGTCATCTGTGCCAGTCGCTGTTAATCTTGTTCCGAAGCCAACTCTAACATCAGTCTGAGCGTGCTGCCTGTGAGGGTGCAGCCAGACCTGAAACCTCCTCTGTAACAGCATTAGCACAAGGAGCAAGGAGAGCAAATGCCTGAACCTCAGCTGCTTTTCTTGCTGAAGTCCTTATTGCTCGAGGTGTGACTGCAAGTTCCGTGCCTCTTCTCGGGGTGGGATTGCAAAGCAAGCCCAGCCTCAGGGAGGGCATTTGGAGGAGGGTTGCATGGCTCTGAGCTGAGCCGTTCCATTGGATCTTGTTTCTCTTTGCCAGTGTCTCTCTGCTGGTTCCAGTCCCGCGTTTGGAAGGGCTGAGGATGATTCCCATTGGTGAGAACTTGGGACGTCAGCCCCGGTGTCCAGTTGTGTGCATCCTCTCAGTAGTCGCTACTTGAGGACCCAGATCCCTCCTCCTCAGTCCCTCGTGGGTTAAAGGCTCTTTGTAACTCAGCCAAAAGGCTTCGAGGAGGAGGCAACAGCAAAGCTGCTGCTGTCAAGGGAGAGGCAGAGCAGGGCCTGCTGCTGCTGCCACGTTCTCCCTCTGCTTCTTGATAACACAAAGTGTGGCTCAGGCCCTGCAGTCAGGGTTGGGCTGTGCCTATAGGGCACCCGTGGGCAGCCCTGGAAGCTCTTCAGGCCCCTCTCCTCCGTTCAGTAACCAATGTCTGTGCCCCTTGGGATGCCTTCAGTGCAAGGGAAGCGTTCACGGGTGCCGGTGGGAGCCTGCTGGGTGCAGTCGCTCCACGGGAGGAGCAGTGAGCGCTTTGCTTTTACACAGGGTTACTCAAAAGGGGTTTAGTTTTGACAGCTGTGAATTTGTACACGGAATTCCTGGTTCATTTGACACAATATAGCATTTGGAATACACGGAATTCCTGGTTCATTTGACACAATATAGCATTTGGAATGCACAGAATTCCTGGTTTATTTGACACAATATAGCATTTGGAATGCACACAATTCCTGGTTCATTTGATACAATATAGCATTTGGAATGCACACAATTCCTGGTTTATTTGACACAGTCTATCATTTGGAATACACATAATTTCTGGTTGATTTGTCACAATATAGCATTTGGAATGCACAGAATTCCTGGTTCATTTGACACAATATAGCATTTGGAATGCACAGAATTCCTGGTTCATTTGACACAATATAGCATTTGGAATGCACAGAATTCCTGGTTCATTTGACACAATATAGCATTTGGAGTACACAGAATTCCTGGTTTATTTGACACTATATAGCATGTGGAATACAAACCCTTGCAGCTGATGTTTCCTCTCGGGGGCCCAGTGGGATGGATTGGAGCTGCTCAGCCTCGGAGCGCTGACGAGGGAAAAGCTCATGTTGTGCTTGGGAATTGTGCTGGGAAGTCCGTGTCTGGCTCCGAGCAGGAGCTGGTGCAGCTGAGGGACCGGGGGGTGGGGGTTTAGTGTGAAGGAAAGGCTCGGGGGGACCTCAGGGCTCCCTACAGCTGCCTGGCAGGAGGATGGAGCCAGGAGGCGGCTGCTGTTCCCGTGCATCCCATTGCCCTGGCAACGCGGCGGCTCCCAAGGGAACTGGGTGAGGCGCAGGAGGAGGAGAGACCCAATTGTGTTGGAAAGGGGCTTAAAGGTCCTGCGGGAGGTGGGAAGGGAGCAGCCCCCGTGCTCTGCCCAGACCTGCTCCTCCCTTCAGCCCCTTTCTCTTTGCTTCCCTGTTTGCCTTTTTCTCATGCAAATCCCTTCCTTGCTGTTGCAGCTGCAGGGAGGAACCTGAGGGGCCTTGGTTAGAGCCCAGAGGAGGGATTTCCTTCCCCGTCCTGCCCAGTGAGTACAAACCAGGCCTTGAGGGGGCTCTGACAACCGTGGGCATCGCCGGGCACCGGCTCTGAACGCGAGCACGGGGCTGGTGCATCAGAGCCTGCAGGACCTCGAGGCCTTCTGCTGCTCCGGTGGGCTCAGCATCCTGGCAGCGCCGCGATGGGGATGTGCTGGAGCCGAACCACATCCCCTCTCCTGGGGGTGCGAGGCATCGCTCCCTAAAGCTCGGCCTTGGACCTCTCTGGTTCCTTAAGCTTGGACCTGAGGCTCCTTTTGAGCCACCCAAAGCGACACCGAACCCCCCCCAGCGCATGGGAGCTGCCGGGGAAGGGAGCGCTGGGCTCGGGGTTGCTGGGAGACGGCTCTCGGCTCTGCGGGATCCGGCATTACCGAAGCCGTGGCTTCGTGCCCGGCGATGTTGTTCTGTGCCGGGAGCTGCAGGGAACAAGTGACGGGAGCCAGATCCCTGCTCGCGAGAGGCTGGAGCCTCCTGCCCGGAGCATCCCCACTGCCAGGCTCCAGGGATGCCTCTCGCTTCCCATTGTTGGATCCCGCTCATCCCAGCTCCTCTTTTTCACCCATTCCTGCCACATCACGGCAAATGGGAATGCTGTGAGGTCACGGAGAGGGTTTGGATGCGCCAACCCTTCAGTATCGGTGTGAGGCCTCATTTGCTGGGGTTGTGTCCTGGTCCTTCAGCTCTTGGCCTGGGAATTGTCAGAGCAGAAACTCCCACCTGTGGAACCAGTGCTGACATTCATAGAACCATGGAATGGGTTGGGATGAAGGGACCTGAAAGCTCCTCCAGTCCCAACCCCTGCCCCAGGCAGGGAACCCTTCCACGGGAGCAGGGTGCTCCAAGCCCCTGTGTCCAACCTGGCCTTGGGCCCTTCCAGCTCTCATCCCGTCCACGTTGCCTACATCAGTCAGGGCACAGGCAGCAGCTAAAGTGATTCCAGCTTTATTTGCATGCTCTGTGTGCGATAACAAATCCAAGAGGCAAGCTTGTGTTACAGCATGGAGCAGCTCAAGGCATGGAGCAGCTCAAGGAATGGATCAGCTCAAGGCATGGAGCAGCTCATGGCGTGGATCAACTCAAGGCATGGATCAGCTCACACATGGAGCAGCTCGCACATGGAGCAGCTCATGGCATGGATCAGCTCAAGGCATGGATCAACTCAAGGCATGGATCAGTTCATGGCATGGACCAGCTCACACATGGACCAGCTCACACATGGACCAGCTCACACATGGATCAGCTCACACATGGACCAGCTCATGGCATGGATCAGCTCACACATGGATCAGCTCACACATGGACCAGCTCATGGCATGGATCAGCTCACACATGGATCAGCTCATGGCATGGACCAGCTCACACATGGATCAGCTCACACATGGACCAGCTCACTCACGGAGCCCCTCACTCACGGAGCCCCTCACTCACGGAGCCCCTCACTCACGGAGCCCCTCACTCACGGAGCCCCTCACTCACGGAGCAGCTCACTCATGGAGCAGCTCACTCACAGACCACCTCACCCATGATGCACTTTCACACATGCCCAGATAGGTTGTTTTTTTCTCCTTTTATTTTTCTTTTTTTTTCACACAAAGTTGTCATTTTCCAGGTTAATTTGCCACGAGGAGACACGAGAAGGTAAAGACCAACCACAGCGGGGGATGTACAGCGAGTTCCTGTCGCTTCCTGTCTACACGAGGCTTTCAAAACAGAGAGATCTGCACCTCTTCGGTTTCCTCCTGTTGCAGAGGGGCCGGGGCTGCTCCTGCCTGCCCGAGAGCCTGCGCCTCTTCACCCTGAGCACGTTTCCTTGCCACCAAGTTCCGCTTTTCCTTTGCAGCTCCGGGCATCTCGAGGAGATCCCTGGGGCTGCAGCACGCTCCGGAGGGGATGGAGGGAGCGTCCCGGCGGTGCCGGGGCCTCCTCATCCCGACGGCGGGAGCGGCGCCGGGAAGAGCGTTCCAAGGAAGTCCTGACCGTCGCTACCCTGCAGCAAGGCCATCGCTTAGTGCAAAAGCTAGGAGGGAGCTAGAGCGGCCCCGGGTCCATGGGAGCCCCGGCTGCGCTCGGAGCCCTCCGACAGCGTGAGCTCGAGAAGCATTGAAGACAAAACCTCCAAGCCCGGGCAGGAATCCCTGGGTGGGATCCAATCCGGCAGGAATGAAGCCCCCTCTGCCCATGCACAGGGAGCCGCAGCCTCAGGGCAGCGCCTGCTGCTGCAGAGACTCTGCCTGGAAGCAAGTTCCAAGGGGAGAGAAGATCCGGCTTTCCAGAAGGAAGGAAGAGATGCCAAAGTACTGCCAGCTCCCAGCGTGCTGCCTGGGCCCCCCTGCTGCTTTTGTGGCCCGCTCCATCGTTCCACCTTCATTAGGAGGAAGGGGAAGGATCATTTCCCAACAGGGCTCTGAACATCAGGAGCCAAGGCCTGTGAGCAGTGCAACGAGCTCCAAACGTCACCGACAGGATCCAGTATGGAAGCAACTGAAGGCCACCGAAAGCCCCTTTGCGAGCTCCCTTCTGCTTCAGATCCCATTGCTGGATCCAGCCTGGCTCTGGTTCTGCTCCAGCCAAGGACCTGCTGGCAGTCACCACCCCTGCGCCTTGCCTGGCTCCAGCGGGCTCGGAAGCCAAGCGAAGCGACTTGGCCAGGATGCTGCTGCTTGGTGTCTTTGACACCAGCTCCAATGGGACTTGTGGAGCCTGAGGAACTCCTGAGCAGGCAGGGTCAAGAGCCCGAGGGCTCCAGGTCTTCACACCCCCGAGGTCATGGAAACCTATGGGAAGTCTGAGTCGTTCACAACTGAACAAGTGCCTTGAGCCAGGCTCTGCCCTGGGCTACCTCCCTTGGGAGCTGGCTCCACATCATCTCTGATGCAAACTGCACCGAAGGAAGCTTTGTGCTCCTTTCCCGCACACCCCTTTTCCTCTCAGCTGCACTGCAACAGAACTGAGCTGAGGGATCCCACCTTTAACGTTCACAAGGATCAGCAGGAGGTCCCTGACCCATCACTCATCACTTTGTGTTCTCGGGCCCTTCACGGAATGGGCTGGGTTGGAAAGGGCCCTCAGACCACCCAAAGTGATGCCTTTGGTGGGCTGTGAATTGTAGATGGAAATCTCAGAGCCCCACATCAAGTACGTGGCAGTGGCAAGGGTTCCAGGGCCTGACAAGAGAACTTTGCTCCCGAAGGAAAGGGCCATTTCCCTGCGGCTTCCCTTTACGCAGTGCAGAATTCCGAGCCACCTTTACATGGAACTGTGGTTGGTGCTCCCGAGCCAGCAAAGAACAGAACTGCAAGAACCAATGGGCAGGCAAACGGACAAGAAACTCGAGGTTAAACTCTGGGAGAAGCCTACTAAAGACAGGCCAATCTCGGTGAATACCAGCAAAGACAGTTCGGCACAAACACAACTTCCATAGGGACAGAGAATTAATTGTATTAAAATCTGCAACTGGATAGTGGTCGTTATACTAACGTCAGTTTGTATTAGGCATGCAATAGCGTGAGTACACTGGTATATATATCTGTGTTTCTGGGTTTCATTGACTGCTCTTTCGAATCTGAGTGCCCTGCAAGAAATCGCATCACAAGAGAACCCCATCATCATCATCATCAGCTGCTGCTGCACCAAGGTTTAGTCCTACAGCTACAACAAGGGTTAAGGCTGCCCTACAAGCTCTAGTACTCGCTCAGGCTGTGCCACTTGGCAATGGGCTTCCTGGGGTTGTCACACACCTCCCGCCAGTGCTCGGCGCCCGCCGCCGTGACGCTGTGCGCGCCCAGGATCAGCCTCCCCACCACCTCGTTCTTGGTGGTGCGGTCGAAGTCGATGACCAGGAACTCGATGCTGACGTCGGGCAGCAGGTCCGCGGGGACGTCGTAGATGAAGGACTCGTTGAAGACGGGGTTCAAAGTGCACTTCTTCACGTGAGTCTTCTTCTTGGCGATGCGCTTCCTGCCGTAGTAAACGTTCACCTTCACGTAGGGATCTGCGGGGGCACGGAGGGAAAGGGACCAATAACACAGCCTCCGGAGGCGGCTGCAGGAGCCGGGGGGGGTCAGCTCCCTGGATGTGCCCCGGGTGTTTTGTCCTTGCCGAGGTTACTGCTGGAAGGGCTGGAGCAGTTTCAATAGGATGCAGGGCCGGGGGGGGGAGCAAATGGTGTGTGGGGGGCTTCCTGGTGAGCTCAAGACCAGGCTGGGCCATGCTCATCTCTAACAGGAGCCATTTCTCCCCTGTTTCAGGGAACAGCCCACAGAAGGTTTAAGAATTCACAGCTGGAAAACAGAGGGGACCCAAAAGGAAGGAAGTGCAACCCAAAGCCTCCCGCTTCCCTCAGCCCCACTTTGTTCTTTGAGCTGCTCAGGGTTAAAATGAAGCCCCAGGCACACAGAGCTTTGTTTCTCTATGGAATGCATGGGGGCACGGAGCATCCCTGATCTGCCCATGCATGGGGGCACAGAGCATCCCTGATCTGCCCGTGCATGGGGGCACGGAGCATCCATGATCTGCCCGTGCATGGGAGCACGGAGCATCCCTGATCTGCCCATGCATGGAGGCACGGAGCATCCATGATCTGCCCATGCATGGAGGCACGGAGCATCCATGATCTGCCCGTGCATGGAGGCACGGAGCATCCCTGATCTGCACATGCATGGAGGCACGGAGCATCCCCGATCTGCACATGCATGGAGGCACGGAGCATCCCTGATCTGCACATGCATGGAGGCACGGAGCATCCCTGATCTGCACATGCATGGAGGCACGGAGCATCCCTGATCTGCACATGCATGGAGGCACGGAGCATCCCTGATCTGCACATGCATGGAGGCACAGAGCATCCATGATCTGCACATGCATGGAGGCATGGAGCATCCATGATCTGCCTGTGCTATGGGGGCACAGAGCATCCCTGATCTGCACATGCATGGAGGCACGGAGCATCCATGATCTGCACATGCATGGAGGCACGGAGCATCCATGATCTGCACATGCATGGAGGCACGGAGCATCCCTGATCTGCCCAAAAGCTGGATCTGGAAAACAAGGAGCTGCCGGAAGGATGCACACATTGGTCTGGCAGCAGGAAGGGTTTGGTCTTTGTGTAACCATCCCTTGGGGATGCTGGCTTACTCCTGGGGACCCACTGCCCTTAGGAGCAGTGGGAGGCAAGGTGTGAACCATGCAGGTGAGAAGAGCTCAAAGGGGACCTGGGACATTTCGAGGGGGAGAAAATAGCTTCTACCTGAGAGGCCAGTGATGTCCATCTTTGGCAAGTGCCTGGCTTTCAGCACCACGACAGTCATCCTCTGAGCCACGGGCTGGTAGGACAAGGAGACCTGCAGCTCCCCTCTGCTGATGCACTTCTGTGGAAGGGAAGCAGAGAGAGGCCCTCAGGACCAGCTGCTCCCACAAACACGGGCACCAACATCCCCTTCCCTGTGCTCAGCACCTCAGCAGCTGGACAAGGAGGTGCAGGCAATGGCAGCAGCTCAGCCAGAGGCCAGCGGGGGGGTTGGCTCTTAATGCTGAGCCTGCTGCTGTTAACCTGGCAGAGCCAGGGGGGATTCCCAAATGCAGGAATTGGGGAAGCACCACGGTAACTGTCACTCTAAATGCTCTGATCCCCCCAGAGGTGAAGCCTCCTTCAACTGCTGCTGTGGGGAAAGCCTGGCTGTGCAACCCTCAGTGTTCATTATCATTCGGGGGGGCTAAGGCAGTGCTTCCAGTGCAAGGAACAGAGGCTGCTGCTGTTCCTGTGAAATTCCTGATGGAGAATGAACACATTCCTGGCCCTGAAGGGAAACGCGAGTCGAATTCAGTGCAGCTACTTCAGAGCAATTTGCACTCTTCCCCTCTCAGAAATGAGGGGGTGTTAAGCAGGGGATGCACCTTTGCTGGCTTGGCTCAGTGCAGTCATCTATGGGGGGTTAGGTGCAACTCATATCTATCTCCATCTAATACCCATCGTATGTATCTCCATCTATTACCCATCGTATGTACCTCCATCTAATACCCATCATATGTATCTCCATCCATCACTGTACCTCCACCTAACGCCCATCACCTGTACCTCCACCTAACGCCCATCACCTGTACCTCCAATGCCCATCCCTGTACCTCCATCTAACGCCCATCACCTGTACCTCCACCTAATGCCCATCACCTGTACCTCCATCTAACGCCCATCACTGTACCTCCACCTAACGACCATCACCTGTACCTCCAACGCCCATCACTGTACCTCCACCTAATGCCCATCACCTGTACCTCCATCTAACGCCCATCACCTGTACCTCCACCTAATGCCCATCACCTGTACCTCCACCTAACGCCCATCACCTGTACCTCCATCTAACGCCCATCACCTGTACCTCCATCTAACGCCCATCACCTGTACCTCCACCTAACGCCCATCACCTGTACCTCCATCTAACGCCCATCACCTGTACCTCCATCTAACGCCCATCGTATGATCCCGGGTTTCACGGCTAAGGATCTGCAGTAGCCCTGCTCGTTAGACCCGGGATCAGCTGCAAGGCACGGCCCCTTGGGGCACGCCACCCGCAGCGACTCACTTGTATGTTCCTCTTGAGGATCTCCCGGGTGAGCTGAACCTTGCCGGTGCTGGGATCCACGCCTGCCAGGGGCACCATGACCTCCCCGATCACATCATCCCGGGAGAAGCGGTCGAAGCTGAGCACGAGGAAGTGGAGCACCAGGTCCTGGAGCTGGCTGTAGGGGATCCCGTAGAAGGTGAAGGTTTCGTCGAACACCGGCTCCAGCGTCTTGCGCAGCACGCGAGTCTTCACCCGATGCCTCTTGTCTGGGAGGATTGTCATCTTGATGTAGGGGTCAGAGCTCTGCGTGTGCTCGTCCATGACGGGCAGCCCGTGGGCCTCCTGGATAGTGACGACCAGGGCTTTCTTGGGGAAGTTGTAGTCCACGGAGAAAGTCAGCTCGCCCAGCAGGACCTCGTCCCCTGGCGACGACGGCGAGGACGTTTTGCTTCCTCCCGGGGTGAGGCTCGGATCCGGGCTTAGTTCGTCTCCGTAATCGACTTTGATGGGGAGCTGGTCGACGCGAGGGGCTGCGCTTGGCCCGTCCGGAGCTTTCTCCGAGCCTATTAAACCGGATTCAGCAGCATCCACCGAGAGGTTTCCCCTTCCTGCCTCCTTGGGAGCGCCATTCTTGTCTCTCCGGATGCGGATGATTTTCTTCTTGTTGCTCAAGGTCTCTGGATAGATGCTGATGCCTTTCAACATGTGAATGAACTTATACGGGGGGGTTTTGTGCTTCTTTTCTGCTTGCTGGTGACAGCATGTCCACACAAAAACTGTTACTGAGACAGAAACCACGAGGACAGTAGCACCAATGAGGCCTGCCACCACTGGAGAGACATCTGCAGAGGAGACAAGGCAGTCAGGAACCAGCTTGTGCCCCCTGGAGCCAAGCACATGGGGATGGAGATGTAGCCAGTGCTCCTGGGCTGGTCTTCAGGCCATGATCTGGGTATCAAAGCCTTTAACTTAGACTTCCCCACGTGGGAAGCATTTCACACTCCTGAGGCCTGCACTGGGTTTCATGTGTTGGGAAGGTCAAACAAGTGCTTGCCTGCTCACATCTCGCCCATCAGCAGCATCTCCACAGGAATGTGGCTCTTGCTTTGCAGGAAACTTTGGGGTTTTGCTTTGGGTTTTAATGCCCTGTTCAGAAACATTCCCCAGTGTTCCCTCTGAACAATGGGAATGGGGTAACAAACACTGGACCTGGGGTTAGTCAGGACCGGGTCTAATCCCTGTGGCCTGAACTGCTTGGTGCTTTTGTCCTAACTCTCAAGGAACTCCAGCCAAGAGCCACCAAGATGCATAAGAAGCTGGAGCAGACGGAGAAGGGACAGCAGAGGGAGGACAAGGAGAGGGTGAAAGAGCAGGGTTTGTTCAGTCTGACAAGGGAAGAGAAGGCAGAGCTCCTTCTGCTGCTCCGGTTCCTTGGTGGGAGGTGATAGGGGAGGCAGAGTCATTGACTCCCTATTGTGTCACTGCTTTAATAACCATGGAAGCGATTGCCCCTTTGCTTTGGAAGCGAGCCCTATGGCTCCTTCCTCACAAGGGTACAACCTGCAACAGCTGAACTGAGAGGCTGCTAAAGCCAAGCTCTGGTTTTCCTGTCTTCATTCTGAACCCTGAACAGGAGAGGCGGATGCGCCCACATCATCCCTGGAGCTCCCGAGAGCTCCCGCATGTTCCGTTCCTCCCCACACCTCTGTTTATGGAGGTGAAGATCAGAGTCGAACCTGAGCACCCAACACGCTCAGGAATAAACTGGTTTCCAAGAGGAAACGTCTCCTTCCTGCTCAAGTGGCAAAGGCACTTTTGGTAAGGGAGAAACCTGCGAGGGTTTGCAATGGTCTGCAATGGGCACTGACTTCAGAGCCAAACGTGGCTCAGCCCCACCGCAGGAACAGCCTCAAGCAAGAGGAATCTCTCCCATTAACAAAACCCTCCCCATAACGTTCCCCCTCTGAAGTGAGCCGTTCCCTGCTCCTGTCCTGGCTGGAAGCTCCTCCTGAGGCCATCATTCCCCCCATTCATTAGCCCAGTCTCTGAGCTGAAAACCGCCCTGGGTAGAGCTGCCTAAACCCGATTTTAGCTGCGGGTTTGCAGCTTTGCTCTGCGCCACATCCATTTCAATGGCAGCGCAGCCTCCCTCCTCCCTGGGAAGAGCAGAACCACCTCTCTGAGCTCAAACTCTGCAGGAGAGGTCTCTGCTCCGACGTGATGCTGACCCAGGCTTGGGGGGGGTGGAATCACATTGCAGTTAACGGGAAGGAATGGAAAACTTCCTTTCGAAACGGGGTGTGAATTCTATCCTAATGGTGGCCGCTGGCTCCATGATGACAGCATGTGGCTCCTGGATCCCGGGCAGCGGCGGATGTCACAGGGAAGGAAGCACACCATGCTCCAGCATGGAGGATGCTGGTGGCTCCTTCACGTTACAGAGGCAACGGAGCATCCGCGCTTCCGCACGGGGCCTCACGGTGCGCGGGGAAGGGCAGCGCTCGCTGCAGGCCGGGCAGCGGCAGCGCCTGGAACCTTCCGGCCTGGAAACCCCAAACCGAGCCCCGGGCGCCGCAGCCCCGGCCCCTGCGCGCAGCCCCGGCCGCGCCATCACCGCCGCTCCCGGCTCCCCCGGGCCCCTTCGCCCGCCTGCACCCCCCCCCCCCCACCGCCGCGGCCGCCGCCCCGGCCCCTCCCGCCGCAGCCCCCCCCCCCCTCCCCGGCCGGCCCCGCCTCGCCGCCGGTGCCGCAGCCGCCCCGGCCCCCGGGGAGGTGCGAACAAAGGGGCCGGGGCGCGGCGCGGCCGGGCCCAGCCACCGCCTCCTGCGGCGGGGACCCCGCTACCGCCCGCCGGGCCCGGGCGCGACGCCGCGGCTGCTGCGGGCCCGAGCGCCGGCACCGCCCCGGCGGTGGAGGCCGGAGCGGGCCTGCGGGGGGCTCCGCGCACCGAGCGCGGCCGGGAGGGAGGACGGGGCCCGGCGCCACTCACCGAAGCCCGGGTGGACGCTGGTGATCTCCGCCATGGCCCCGCTGAGGCCGGCGCGGCCGGGATGCGGAGGCGCCGCGGTGCCGGCCCCCCCTCCGCGCCGAGGATGCTCGGAGCCCGGGATGCAGGAGCTGCCCACTGGTCCTGGCGCGGCGCAGGCCCCGCCCGCCGGCCCCGCCCCGCGGCCGCCCGCCCGTGACTCGGCAAGAGCCGGGGCTGAGGCCGCGCCCCCCGGGCCCGCAGCGAGGCGGCGGCGGCGGCGGCGGCGGCGGAGGAGGAGGAGGAGGAGGAGGAAGAAGAAGAAGAGCGGCGGCGGCGGGGGGCGCGCGCGCGCTGCCGGTGGCTCCCCCGCGCCCGATGCGCTCCGGCGGGGCCGCGCGGGCGGGGGCGCGCGGCGGGCGGGGCCTGCGGGGCGGCGGCGCGCAGCAAAGATGGCGGCGGCCGCCCCCGCTGCTCCGCGTCCTCACGGCGGGGCCGCCGGGCCCCGCACCGCCAACATGGCGGCGGAGCGCCCCGCGCCGGCCACACGTGGCGGAACCGCGCCTGCGCGGCGGGCGGGCCCCGAGGCGCTTCCGCTTCCTGCGGGGCCGGCGGGGCCGGGTCGGGGTCGGGCCCGGGCCCCGGGGAGCCGCGGTGCTGGGCTCCGGGCGGGCGCCGCCGCCGCCATGGCGCTGTCGCTGAAGATGCTGCCCTGCAAGAAGCGGAGGGCGGCGGTGGCGGGGCCGCAGAGCCCGCGGGACGACGGGGACCTGCCCGGGAGCTCCTCCTCCTCCTCCTCCTGCTCGGACGGCGGCTCCTCCGCCAAGCCCGCGGCGGCCCGGGCCGGAGCGCTGCCCTCCGCCGGCCCGGGCGTGTGGAGGGGCCCCGGGGAGGCGTCGCTGAAGGGCGGGAAGCGGCCGGGCCCCAAGGAGGCCTGCGCGCAGCTCCCCGAGGGCCTCGGCGCTCCCGGAGCGGCGGCAGCGGAAGGTAAAGGCGGGGAGCGGGGAGCTGGGCCCCGCTGCCGGCCCGGGGAGCGCCTCAGCACCGGAGCTCATGAACCGCGGCTCCGCTGGGTGCTGCGGCTCCGCGGTGTGCGCGGCTGGGGGGTGCTGAGCGGGAGTCCCGCTCGCCGAGGCTGGGGCTTCTCCTCCCTTAAACACGCGGACACTCGTGGGGAGCCCGAGCCGCTCCGCTCGGGGGCTGCCGAGCCCCCAGGGCTCCCGGAGCCGCTTTGGGTTGGTTTCTTATTTCCAGGCTCGCAGCCACAGTGGTGCAAACTCAGCCCCGGTTTCCCAGTCCGGGCCCTGGGTTTGGCCCTTTGGGGACTGCAGCAGTGAGACACAGCCCGAGCGGGCTTGCTCTGAGGCTCCCTGAGAGCATGGAGCTCGAGAGGGGTTCGCCCCCACAGTGCTGCCGGATGAGCGATCTCCCATCGCCTTTAACCCCTCTGGAACAAGTGGTTGTGCCCCCTTTCCCGCACTGCCTGCTCTTTTCTTCTTCCCTTTCCCTGGCTCTCTGGGAGCTGGTTTGATGGGGGGGCAACACAGCAGGACTGGCTTGAAACAGGAGCAGGGGTTGTGCGGCCCCCCCTGTCAGCACCGGCAGGGTTTTAAACCGGCCTAAGGTGGCCGTCAGGCTGCATCCTAACGTGGCACACGGCTGCAGTGTTCCCTGGCTGCTGGTTTCTATTGCAGCTGTATTCTACAACAGGGAGTACAGCCCTGGCTTGGGGGACTCAGCCTCTCATGTTGTCTGGATTGCTTCCCCAGGCTGGGTGGGACTCGTGCCATTGATTTGAATGGGTCATGATAAGCCTTAGGGAGTGCAGCAGCCTCCTGGCTGTGCTGTGCGTGGTATCGGCACAGCGCCGTGTGTTCTCTTCGCAGGGAAGATGCCCAGGCTGTGCACCGAGGTGGAAGTGAGCGCGCAGAAGGATCCGTGTCTGCCCGAAAGCCAGGCCCTGGTGCAGGAGGCCCCAGGGAGAAGCTCTGTGCAGGTGCCTGCTCGGAATCCTGCTGTGGTGAAGCCGCTGCGGAGCAGCAGAGCTGGAGAGGGGCCCCAGCAGACGGGTGAGGCAAAGGAGGACTTGGGGCTGTGCATTACTTAAAACACCTCCGTGTGGAAGAGGGGTAAAAGGGCTGCTGAGACCCTTCTGTAAGCTCAAGCCAACAGGGATGGTAAACACGTAACCTTTACTTGCTCCAGCGCTCCCCCAGGTCTTGCAGAGTTTGAATCCATCATTCAAACGTTCAGATTCAGTCCTGGTACTTCTGGCCGTTTGCATCTGGTGATCTCTGGAAAAGCTGCTGTCACTTCAGTAGCTGCAGGACTGTGGCTGTTGGGTCTGGGGTGGTTTAAATGGGGCTCTCGGGGTGTACTGCATGGGAAAGTGATTCCGAGTTTATCCGTTTTCAGAGGAGCAAGATGGAGAGGATACTGAAAGAAAGAAGAGGAGGAGGAAGGCAACCAAACGGAAAAGAGAAGGGAAAACTCAAGAGGAGGAGGGGTCTTTGTCCTGTGACATCAAGCTGGATGATACCCTCGACCGCACCTTAGAAGATGGAGCCAAACAGCACAACCTGACAGTTGTCAACGTGAGGAACATCCTGCATGTGAGTGTGGAGGGGTGCGACAGGGAGGGAAGCGCTCAGCTTTCTAAGACAGTGCTCTCTAGACTTTAATCTGAGGCTCTCGTGTGTGTGCTGTGCTTTGCTTTGGGTTTATTTTGTGCAGGTACTGTTCCAATGCAGGGCAGCTCAAGGATTTCCCTGCCTGCCATCCCTGTGGCACACACGTTGGAGGCTGCCACAATTCTGTCAGGCAGAGGCACCAGCTGATCCTGTGCCAGTGCCATAAATGAGTCTTTCCCTGTCACACGGCACCGTGTGGGGGCTGTAAATGTCTCAGAGGCACCTACGTTCCCTGGAGCCTTATGGTGGCATTTGGGAGATGGAGGCACAGATGCTGGCTCCCTTCTGCCTTCCTTTGGAATCTAGCAAACGTTGTCTGAAATGATGGACCGCGATGCTGCAAGCACAGATTATTCTGGGCTTTCCCTAGAGAATTAGACCCTGACCCGTTTGGAAGCTGGTGCAGCTTCATGGCAACATTTCTCATGTGCCAGGGCGATATTCCTCATGATGGGACACGAAGGAGGGGGAATTGGGGTGGGCTTTTCCTTCAGCTCTTTTCTTTCCTTCTGCTGGGAATCTGTTCTGGGGAACCTTCCCAGGCAACGTGGTGCAGGTGCCGTTATCCCTCCTTGTGCTTACTCCAGACTTTCTTGTCCAGTCTTTCTTTGTTCTTGCATACTTGCAAAGTCTGTGGTACCCTGACCATTTCTCCATCATGTTTCTAACGAGTTTATTTTAACCTAAAGTTTGTTTCTTTTTAACAATATAAAAGATCCCTTTTTTGTGTGTGTTCCTGTAGGAAGTGATCACAAATGAGCATGTGGTTGCCATGATGAAAGCGGCCATCAGTGAGACCGAAGATATCCCTTTGTTTGTAAGTAAAAAGGGGTTTCAGTTGGTCCAAATGCACCAGTCTATCTTGTGGGTCCATGATGTGGTATGGAGAGAATAGGTAGGACCATAACTGATGTTTCGTTACCACTTGGATGAAGTGAGCAGTGTCTGTGTATGTGTAAATGATGAAACAGGATTGTGAGGGGTTATTTTTGCTGTCACTCTGATCCTGCCTAAAAGGCAGTGAATTTAAAGAAGGGAAAAGCCTTGTAGTGAAGAGCTGCTGGGGGAAAGTTTGCAGTGAAGAAAAGCAGCTGAATAGGTTGCTGGTGTCTTCTTTTAAACCCTCAGGAGCCCAAAATGACTCGTTCCAAACTGAAGGAAGTTGTGGAGAAAGGAGTGGTAAGTACATGATCTGCTTTTACTATTGCAGCCTCCCCCTGCCCAAATGGCTTTGGTAGTTGGGTCTTCTAAAGGAGGTGTAAAGTGTGCTTTTATGTGAGTTATTCTTCATGTGAGAAAAATAAGTTAAAGCAGTGTAAAACTTTTAGATGGGCAGAACAGAACCAGGTCAGAGTTGGAAACTGCAGTGAATTGGGAGGATCCTGAAGTTACTGCTGCAGGGATCACGGGGGCAGCTCAGAAAGCCTTTGTTGGAAGTCTGTTGTTACTTGGCTACTTTGGAGAGCAAGGCCTCAAGCTCAAGTAGTGATTTGGTGTAAGTGATAAGCTGTGCAGACCGTGCTTTTCAGAGCCAGCTAAAGTGCTTTTGCTCTCTTTAGGTGATTCCAACGTGGAATATTTCCCCAATTAAGAAGGCAAATGAGGTGAAGGTAAGTGAGCTACTGCTGGGAAGTGGGAGATGGTACTAGAGGCACCCTGAAAGCAAGGAATCTTTTGGAGGGGTGGAGCAGATTCATGTGTAACATGGCCAATGCAGTGACCAAGAGCATTGCAAACAGGACAGGGCAGTTAACATAGCAGTGGGTGCACAGAGGGCCAAAAAGAGCTGCCCTCAGGGGAAGACAGAATGTGATGAGGTGATGACATGCCATAGGGATGTCTTTTCAGCTTCCCACATCGGTACTGCAGCAGCCTCTAGCTGCATGAAACTTCTGATGGTGAATGTTAGTGCCCAGGCCTCATGTTCTGTGCACTGTAGGGCTGTCTGGAAATGCAGCCTGGATCTGGGGGCCTTTTTTGCCTGCCCCAAAAGGGTTGTTCCCTAGGGGCAGGCAGGATCCAGCAGTGTGGCAGGGGCGAATGACCATTCAGGTGCTACAAACATGTCTCTAAGGCAGTGTCTGTCAGTGCAGTGTTTCCATCCTACAAATGTCAATGTTTTGTGCATTTTAAAGCACTTCCTTTGCTTTACCAGTCGTACTTCAGTAATTTCTGTGGTCTCTTCAGCCTTCCTCAGCACTTTCCTTCCTTTCTGAGCTTCAGGGCACTTCCTCAGCTGGAAACCTTTGACCTGACAGTGCGGCTCTTTCTCGCCTGTACAAAGTTGTCTGTTCCCTTCTGTTGCAGCCTCCTCAGTTTGTGGACATTCCTCTTGAGGAAGACGATTCATCTGATGAGGAATACCAGCCTGAGGATGAGGATGAGGATGAGACTGCAGAAGAGGTAACTGCAGCTTGGACAGAGATGTGTTGTGTTCAGCATGGAGCTGCCTGCATGTTTGAGGCAGCAGAATGCTCTTTATTTTAACATGTGAAAACTTGTAAGTTGTCCCAGACCTTCTGGTAATCTGTCTTCAATGCTGTAGTGTTCACTGGACAAAAAAGCAGTCTTTGGAATATGAGTTGAAGCAGTGTTTGACTGCCTTCTGCATCTTTTGTGCTGTAGAGCTTACTGGAAAGTGATGTAGAGAGCACTGCTTCTTCTCCTCGGGGAGCAAAGCGATCTAGGACGAGGCGCTCCTCTGATGAAGAGGGAGGGACTCTCTGCGAGGTAAACTTGCTTTCTTTAGAAACAACTTTGGGTCTTTATTCCTAAGCCATTAACGCAGAAGCAAAAAGACACATCACTGCTTCAGGCTGTGGTGTGGGGCAGGTGCTGGGTGGCTTCAGGGTCCCTCTGCAGCGGTTCCTGCATAAGCAGTGAAGCGCAACCCTTGCAGAAAAAGCTTGGTTTGAAATACACAGAGTTACTTAAAACCACTGGCAATGGCAAGAAGAGGCTCCTCTCAGATAATAATTGCTCTTCTGCTTACGTGGGAGAGGAGTGCAGGGGAGTTGCTTTCTGTGCGTGGCGGAGGAGGAGGAAGTGGTGCTGACAAAAGCAGAAAGGTTATTTCTGGGCACTGTTAACCCGTGGGAGTACGAGCAGGGTGGTGAGAGTGGAGTATCAACAGACGGGAATGAGAAAGCATGCGTGGGAACTGGCCACTGCCACTGGAGCTGGAGAAAGAGCAATAATGTGTTGATAGTTCCACCTTCTGCTTGCCATGGGTTTGCTTTTGGGAGGGTTCGGGCTGTGCCACAGTTCGCAGCGTTCAGGTTTATCAGCTCTAGTAACGTTGAGGCTGATGTTCAGCTCTTCCAAATGTCTTC